CCCAACTTCTGTCTTGTCTTTTAAATCTCTCCAAGTAGTCTTACTTGTGCTTATGTTTCAGCTGACTCCTTATTTGCTTCTGAATCCCAAATAATTTTGACTTATCTTCTGAATTCTTGCCTATATCTATGATAACTCCCAAACACATCCAAGTACATTATCTACATTCAACTTTTGAGGGGTCTTTAATGTCTTTGAAAATCTGATAAAAGAGCCTTCCTACCCTGACTGCACATTGGCTCAACAATCTGCCTGCAATGACCTTCAGAGAGTTCATAGGCTGCCAGAAGCCCATCTATGCCTTCTGGGTCCATGGACTCCAATGTAACAACTCTTGGACTAGAGTAAACAGGATAGATCTAGATGCCCTAGCTTGGAATCAGAGATTCTTCCATTTCGTGCTATGATATGGGCATTGATTATCTACTTCTTCCTGATCAGATACCCTCCATGGTGCTCTGGAGCATATAACGTATGCTACATCATAATTTTTGCACACATTTGCTCTGGTTTAGGTCTTTAGTCTGGATTCTGATTTTGAAAATTTTGTTTTGACCTATTGGTATCCATTTCTTCAAATGGCTAGGCTTAGAGGGAACATCACATTTACTAATTCCACTGCTATTGAAGGTTTCAGTAAAATAACTGGCTTTTCTACCTTCCTGTAGGAAACTTTACAATGTATTTTTTCATGCTTTACTTTAGTGCACACCACTCTGCTTTAAACATGCTGCCAGCTTCCTCACACCATAGCTTCCACCTGGCTCGTCACAGTGGGTATGTAGTGCATGTTAGTTCAGGGGCAATGCCCTGTGCACGACCTCAGGTAGTTTGACCTGATGCTTCGGAATACCAACCGAGCACACGACAAGAGTTAACTTTCATTGCTTCATGGCAACCCCATTTTCCAGATGGGACAAGATTTACAGCCACCCTAATGTCACTCCACCCACTGCCCACGTGTTCTGCAGTAGAGATCCTTCACCTTCGTCTTGAGGTTTCATCTGTTTACTGTAAAAGTTTACACTTTATGATTTAGTTCACTCAACTGGAAACCTTTCTCTATTCTTTCTGGTATAGTCTCCTTCCTTCCTAAATTGTTTCTACCTTTGCTGACTGACTGTATGAAGCCTGGAAAAGTGCGTCCAATGAATCTGTAAATCCAGTGGCTGTAAATCCAGTGGGTACACAGAGGTTTAGTAATTTTCTCATAGTCTGGTCTGGCAGCTTGATTCTTGGAGCCTCTAGAAAGAGCTGATTTCACAAAGATTCAAGATTTCTTTCTGTCCACATATCCCAAAGAGTGACCCTCTGCTGATTGGCAGGATAGGGGCGGGGGTTGAGAGTGCCTCTTTATTCACAGCTTCTGTGGAAGGAAAACACCCCCAAGGACTCTGAACCACCTTGGCCATTCCATTTGTGAGTGGGGCTGCCCTCTCTGCTCCGGACACAGTGCTAACACAGAAACTATTCTCCCCTCCAGGGCCAGTGCAACAGGATGGACTGGCACCTTCCTCATTTACCTGATTCTTCTCTTCTCTTTTCATTGGTTTACTTACCTGTTAACACTGTTTACTGGCCACATCCACAATGACCAGCCCTATCTTCCTGCCTCCATGCTAGACTGGGCCGTGCTTCCAGGTCCTACCCGTGTGTCTTGTGTCCCCTACTCATGTTGGCCGTGGCCTGCCTTGGCCTCTCTTGCCAGACCCAGCCGGGTCAGGGGTGACTTATTTTATTTCAGACATGCCTTATTTGATATTAGTAACAATGACAAACTCTAAAAGCTTATAAGGATTAACAAAGTTATTTTCTCATATTTCCATATTGAAAGTAAATAATCATGAAAGAGTTTTTAAATAATTTTCCAGAGTTAGAAAACTTCATTCTTAATTAGGTTTTAACAAATATTGCTCCTTATACTTTTGTTAAGAACAGTGTACCCATCAGTGTTCATTTATAACATATTTTTTTACTTTCCACTCACCATCAAAAAAATTTTTGTATGATCAGTAATACATTCTTGTCACATGGCAAAAACACAGTTGAAACTAATTCTTTAAGTTTTGTTTGCTGAGTGAAGTTTTACCATGCATTTGAACCATGGAAAGCCCAAATCAGCATGCCTTTGACTTGGCATCAGGAGGAAGAGGGTGCTAATGACCACGTGGCTGGGAGGTTACTGAACTGGCATTGACATCTCAGAGTGACTTCTGAGAAGAGGTGAAGACTCCCTGGCTGGTGTAACTCAGTGGATTGAGCATGGGCCTGCATACTAGAGGATTGTAGTTCAATTCCCAGTTAGGGCACATTCCTGGGTTGCAGGCCAGTTCCCAGCAGGGGAAGCACCAGAGGCAAACATACATTGATATTTCTTTCCCTCCCTTCGTCCCCTCTAAAGATAAATAAATTAAAAATTTTTAAATAAAAAAGAGGTGAAGGAAAGCTCATCACATATCAGTTTATCTTCAGTTACAAAAGCTTATGCTTTTTATTTCCTTGATACTGAACAAATGTAATTTTAAAAGGACATTCCTCTATTAACAGCATACTTACCTTGCCATCTTTGTTATCCGCATAATTAAAATGTAAATACTTCACTTCTGGGTGTAGCGATTCCATAAAGGTACTTGGCTACTATGTTAATACGTCCTTTGAATCTGTTGTAGCCGCTGCAGTCCGCACCTGTGAGCGCAGCTGGATTCTGAGAATACTGCTGGCAGGGTTGAGGGACTAGTTGCCAACAGTATTTAAATTATTTTTAATTTTTTATAATAATTGCATTTATACTATTTTTAATGAAACAACTACATACTGCAAACTTGGGCTTTTCAAATTAATTCTTTTGGCTGATTTTCCCAATAGAAACCGCACTCAGGGTGCTCTGTTTAGTGTGGTTGACTTATAGCCACCAGGGAAGTCTTCATTACAAGTCTAAGCAATTTAGTTCAGAGGCTCTGGGAAAATTTCAGACCTTGTGTATTCGGAAAAAACTCACAAAGGCTGCATATATTTTAAAACATTTTAGAAGCCACATAGTTGAGATTTAAGTATATATTAATTGCAGCTTTTTTATGAAACTGTTATGGCCTACCTGAATTCTAATTTCATTTTAATTTTCTAAAATTTTATTTATTTATTTTTTAGAGAAAGGGGATGGGAGGAAGAAAGAGAGGGAAAGAAACATCCATGTGAAAGAGAAACATCTATTAGTTGCCTCTTGTACATGCCCCAACCAGCACAGAATTCTCAACCCAGGCATCTTCCCTGATAGCAATTGAACTGGTGACATTTCATCTGCGGGACAACACTTAACTGAGCCACACTGGTCAGGGCCTGAATTCTAATTTTAAGTAAAAGGACCAAGGGATTAAAATGATAGGATTATAGGACATGGTTCCTGATTGTTCTAAGACAAATGAACAGAAGCATTAGCCATTTACTTCGTGCCAGTTATGGATAGATCAGCAAACACCCACGTATCAGGTGAGCCAAGCCCAAAAGCATCTGCAAGTATGTGGCATCTGAATGTGATACTATGATTGTGAAAGGGGCAATGTAAAAGTTATTGTTGAAAGAAGATAAATAATATATTAATGTTAAAATGAAAATCAGTTGCATCATTTCTAAAAGTATTTCTGAAAAACACATTTAATCAAAATGTATGTCATTAATTAGTTCTGAATGTAGATGTTATTATCTCAATTAGTATCAGCATTTTTGCAGATACTTATTTTAACAAAATATTCTTCTCATATATCAACATCCTGATACCATATATCACACATTCTTCTATTTTAATCATGTAAATTGACTTCATAAAACTTAATGGAGAATCAAACCAATGACAAAGTTTAGTGAAGGAAATTTTTTTCAAAGTAGTTTCTAGTACTTTTTATGGCATTAAAACAGAATTTGGCTTAATATATATTTTCTAGTATATTCTTTTTAGTAAATCTTAATTTAGAATTAACTATGGAACACAAAACAAAAATGTCTTTAATATTCTAATTTAGTTGAAGCCATATTTGCTTTAGCATAGATATGAGATTGTCATTTATTTCAACAATCAAATGAGCCCCCACCAGTGTGACTCAGTGACTTGGGCATCGCACTGCAGGGAGAAGGGTCCCTGGTCCACTTCCTGGTTGGGCACATGCCTGGGTTGTGAGTTTGCTCTCCAGTCGGAGTGAGAAGCAATGGGTTGATGTTTCTCTCTCACACCAATGTTTCTCTCCCTCTCTTTTTCCTTCTCTTCCCCTCCATCTGAAATTAAAATAAGTAAAATCTTTGAAATCAAGAGAAAAACATTAGGGAGTGAAAAGAACCTTCAAAATACTTTGGTTTTTAATTTAGTATTTTATAAAGAGGTGTTAATTACTATGGTATGTGCTTAAAATCATAAATTTACTTGTTTTCAAGTAAAAAACTCATGTTCATATATGCTTAGATTATGTTTGTGGTAATTTATCAATTAAATAATTATTTTAATTTTCGATACATCACCATGTATTATAATTTAGGATAGAAGATGATTATAATTTTTATACAAACTCATAAACTATGGAATCATAGCTTGTTACTCATTTTTACTTTCTCCAGCTCACAGTTGATAGATCTCAGTCGCTCTTCAAGTACTGGGTTTGTGTTTAAAGTAAACGTCAAAAGAACAGGTGTTTGTCCGTCTGTAGGAGAAGAGGGCACGTGTGCACACAGCACCAGGCCGGCCCCCAGCTGTTGTTAAATAAGTTCTTGCTAAACCTGTAACTCTGCTCTTTCTTGTTATAGAATTTTCTTTGCCATAGTATTGATATCATATAGGGGAACAGAAAGAAGAGCCATATCCTTGACTCATTTTGCATAATCACTGTGAACTAAAAGTTAGATAGTTTTTGTGTAGTTTAGGCTCTGTGACTAAAGCTAGCAAACAGTTTGAATTCCTATCATATTTTGGACAGTGTTTGCAGCAAAATTCATTTTTTTTCTTTTGGCTTGTGAAGCTGAAAACAGAAAACTTTTTCATGAACAAAAGGTTGAAAAATGCCTTGTAGCCCTTTTAGGCTCTGAAAGTGATGGGACTAAGATTGCTGCTTCCCAAGCTGTCTCAGCAATGTGTGAGAATTCAGGCAGCAAAGACTTTTCAACTATCAGGGTAAGCAAAACAGAAAATCCTTTTTGTACATTTTTAGGTCACTATATTCTAGGTGATGTGGATATTGGTAAAATTACGTTTTACCTTTTTTTTCTGTAGCGTTTAATAGTTAGTTCAGTTGCTAGAAAGTGACAATGAAGAGGTTAAGGAGGCCGTGGGCCTGGCCCTGGCTAATTTGACCACTTGCAATCCTGCTAATGCGAAGTAAGTACAGAAACGCTCACTCAACAGTAATATTTCAACTTTCAAGGACGTTTACATTTTCTTGCAGATGTACTGTCTTGAGATAAAACCTTTATGAAGCTTCAGAAACCCTCATGAAAACAAGTCATCAGATAGGCCTGTTTTCCAAAGATACAGTCATGCATCACATAAGGAAGTTTTGGCCAATGACTGACCACATGGCAGGCTCCACAGATTACAATGGAGCAGAAAAATTCCTATCATCTGGTGATGTCATAGCTATTGCAAAGTCATAGGGGCAACAGGTTACTCACATGTCTGAGGTGATGGCAGTCATATTAAAGTACTGCATACCATGTTTTACTGCATCTTTTCTATGTTTAGGTGTGTTTAGATACACAAATACCATGTAGATACACAATACTTTCAACTGGCTACAGTATTCTGTACAGTAACATTAGTACAGGTTTGTAGCCTAGAAGCAGCACTAGGCTAGACGGTATAGCCCAGCTGTGTAGCAGCCTATACCATCTATATTGTGTAAGTGCATTCTGTGGTGTTCGCGCAGTGACAAAATCACCTAGTACTTTCCTTAGAATGTATCCTCATCGTGAAGTGACATATGACTGTTACAAAATCTCAACTATGTCTGGGCTTGTTTGGAAAATGAGCAGGTCATTTAATTTAGGTGACAGGTTAACTTTCATGGAAGCTTCCAGTACAAATAAAACTGGATAATGATGGAAATATTAAAGATAACATATAATAATAACACCTGATAAATTTGGAAAAAATACAAGATCCATTTTTAATGGACATAAACATTAGATAAATCTAGAAATGTTTAAAAAGTCAATTTAAAGCAACACGTTATGGGTAAATACAATGAAGAAAGGTTGGGAAAGTGTACTCTCTGTGTTCCAAGCACTGTGGTATGTGACCTATATTTATTGAAAAATGAAACTATCAAGATAACGCATCAACTCATGAAGAAAGTTGGGCTCAGCAAGGGTACCTAACTTTCCTGGGCACAGGTATTTATTGAAACAGCTGAGCTGGAAGTTAAACCAAGTCTGTTGGACTCCAAAGTCTGTGTTCTTTCCTCTACAGAAGATAAGATTGCCTTATAAAACAGCAAAGATTTCTTCAAGACAACTTTTATAATTAAATAAAATAATTATTTTTCTGCCCTGTATCTATCTCAGTTGATAGATGTATTAGTCATCATTTTACAGAGAAACAAAATGAATAGGAAATACATAGATTAGAAAGAAAGAAGGAAAAGAAAGAAAGATTTTGCCTTATTTGATATGAAGGTCAAGAAGTCCCAGGATCTGCCATCTGCAATCTGAAGAACCAGGAAAGATGGTGGTGCAATTCAGTTCAAGTCCAAAGGCTTGAGAACCAAGAGGGTCTTTTTTTCCTTTAAATATTTAAATTTTTGTTCAGTTACAGTTGTCCCCATTTTCCCTCATTACTCTTTCCTTCCTTCCCCACCTCCCAAATTCAGTCCTCCCTCTTTGTTTTTGTCTATGGGTCATTTATACTTGTTCTTTGACTTGATCCATCTCCTTCTTTCCCCCATTATCCCTCTGCCCCCTCACTCTGGTTACTGTCTTTTTGTTCTTTGTTTCCATGTCTCTGATTCTATTTTGCTTGCTTATTTGTTTTGTTGATTAGGTTCCACCTTTAGGTGAACTCATATGGTATTTGTCTTTCATTGCCTGACTTATTTCACTTAGCACAATGCTCTCCATTCCCATCCATGCTGTCACAAAGGGTAGGATTTCCTTCTTTCTCTCTGCTGTGTAGTATTCCATTGTGTAAATGTACCGCAGTTTTTTGATCCACTCATTTATTGATGGGCACTTAAGCTGTTTCTAGCACTTGGCTATTCTGCTATTTATACCTTTTATTGTTATCCACAAAGTAAAGATCACTTAAAATGGGAAAAAATGGAAAAAGGCAAAGACTAAGAACAGCTAATTGAAGACATAGGAAAACAGGACAAAAACAACCAGATTCATTTATTTAAAGTTATAGCAGGAGAAAGAAAAATAAAATTATCTTTAAGTGGATAAATAAAAATTGAGAAGGTTAAAACCAATATATAAAACCAATCCAATATAAAGAAATAGATGAAAATAAAAAATAGAAACCAAGAGCAGAAATGAATTTTATATAAAAATGTAATCCATTCAGTTAATTTGGACCCCATTATCCATTCTTGCTTGATTCATTGCTAGTCTTTTTGACAATTCTCAATATGTAATACTTTTGGAGAGGAAAGAGTTAATTTTTAAGAGGAATGATATTTTCAGCTAAATTTCATGTTATACTTACTGTACTCTTCTATCTAATTTGTCATATCAAAGTTTTACAATATTTATGCAAGTACTGAGAGAATTATTCTTGGTTGATATTCTTCTCAGGGGCAGATCCTATATATTAATATTTTAAACTATTAATTTATAACATCACTGCCATCTGTTGGATCTGATCAGAATTAGAGTTTTTAAGTTAATACCAAGAATAAAAAGGGATCAATGTTTTTCATTTCCCTTTGCCAACACTAACTAAATTTTGGCTTATTGGTAAACTATAAAAAGATTACAAAATGTTATGGTTATTGACTAGATGTTTTTCAAAAGATACAGTGATTTTAGGAAATAAAACACAATGAATAAAATAAAAATATAAAAAGTAATAACTATAATTATTTAAACACATATAGATAAGCAGTTTTGCTACAGAAAATACATAATCAAGTCTATTATTTACACATATATAAATAATGCACACACATATAAATCATAAATATATATATCATACTAACTCCTGTTATTTGTCCTTATTCCATGTTATCTCCATGTAAATACTAATTATTTTACTAAATCTTAGAGAGTCCTCTCATCTCAGTTTTCTTGTATTTTAAATTTTTAGGCCCCTTCTTAACTTCTCGTACCAACAGTGACTCGATAGAGCTCTGATGGCAGCATATATGGTGGTTACGTAAAAAGACGTGATTGACTGCTGGGCCCCTGCTGGCCTCCATGGCAGCAAAGACACAGAGCTTCTCTCTAGGGACTGTCCTACTTCTGTGAGATGTGAGGTCAGGACCACAACAAAGGCAGTGGGGAGACAGTAAGAAGTGCACCCCAAAAAGGACCCCAGAAAGAGATAGAATAACCCCAAACTGTATGGATGTGCATTTGTGAGCTTTGGGAACTTTTTTGAATGTCCTCATTATATATGGATAACCTGTCATTTCATATTATCAGTATTAATATTTCTCTTCAGTAACAAAGATAAAGCTTAACCAAGTAATTTTAATACCTATTAGAAGTATTCATGGAGCCCATTCCCAAGAAAGCCATGCAATTTGCAGAGAAAGTACTTAAAAGGCATGCAATGCAGGACTTCACACTGTAAGTACTTCAGAAAAGGCAGCACTTGCTCACTCACAGCGACCCAAACTCTGTAGGCCTCTCAGTACTGTCAGGGTACGGCTTGACCGTAAGTAACATCTTAGAACATTAAATCTCTCGAGTGTGTATGGAAAGCACTTTTCAAGGCCTTTGTGCTTGTTTGTTTGTTTTTCATTCCTACCCCGTTTAATAGAGTTGGGGGATGGTCATATATTAATTTATTTTTATTTCGTTCACTCTGTAGCTTTAAGTATAGACTAATGCTATTCCTTAGAATTACCTATATTTTAATTGTACACTTAATGCTGTAGCACAGTGAACTTGTAGTCATTTTGAAGGAAAAAAACCCACCTCTCTAAAGTTGGCAAAATACTGCAAGATTTACTCCCCCCTCCACTCCTCTAGAGGAAGAGATAGGATACATGAGGTCTCTCTGGGAAAAGTCCAACTGTTGTTACATCCCGAGAATGGTTTGTATGACATCTGTGTATCCTGGGAGCCAAGGAGAATGGACTGGAATATGCATGTGTGAACAATGATGACTACGATGTACTAGAAGTGGGGGTGGTAAACACTGTTGAGTGAGCATGTGTACTGTGTGGCTGTGCCATTCAAAATGACTGAGTGAGTAGAGCAATGAATCTGCATTAAATTTTGAGTTACTCTTGAACATTCCTCTGTGGAAACTATTCAGATGATTCAGAAGGCCACAGCTATGGGCAACTGGTGATTGGCAGCTTCATCACAACAAAGTGCCTGCTCATGTATCATGTCTTGCGCAGAGTTTTTTCGTCAAAACATCAAATCACCCAGGTGACTCAGCCCCTCTACAGCCCAGATTTGGCGCCCTGTGACTTCTGGCTTTTCCCAAAGCTAAAATTACTTTTGAGAGAGAAGAGATTTCATAATATTGATGAGGTTCAGAAAAATATGACAAGACAGCTAGCTGATGGTGATTGGGAGAACTATGTGAGGTCTCAAAATGCCTAGTCTGAGGGGAACTGAGGCGTCATTGCCCTATGTACAATGTTTCTTGTATCTTCTTCAATAAATGTCTCTATTTTTTATATTGTTTGGCTGTATACTTTCTGGACAGACCTCATACACTTTTTAGATGGCTAGAGAGGTACACTATAACTCTTTGAAAATAAAATTTTTATTATTGGGGTGACATTGGTTCATAAAACCCTACAGATTTCAAGTGTACAACTAGACAAAACATCATCTGCTCACCGTATGGCACACCCATTGCCTCAGGCAAAGTCCCACCTTGCCGACATCCACCTATTCCCCATCCTGAAATTAAATTTTAATGTCTCTTTCAGATGATACATGTTGGTCAATAGGCACAGATTCAATTAGAATAAGTAGTCTTGTCGCTTAGAATATGTTTTTATTAAAGAAACATTGACCATAGAAATAGTCCACAACAACTTACATAAATAGTATTATGAAAAGTGCAAACTCATGTTATAGTCTTGATGTATTAGTTGGATTTAATAATGCTATAGATGTGTAGTTATTGTCTTTGTTATGTAGGGTTTTTCACAGGGGTTTTCAGTTTCATTCTCCCATCTATTGGTGAGAGGAACT